AAAAAATATTACAAAGACTCTTGACATCAGGTGATTCTCAAACTTTCAGACACAATACTTACTTTCTTTGAAAACAAGTTTATTCAGTATTGAAAATGCTGTCTTGAGCACTAATCTCCAGGATATATAAAGAACTCAAAAAACTTAAACAAATAACCCAATCAACAAATGGACTAAGGTACTGAACAGACACTTCACAGAAGAAGAAATACAATCGATCAACAAACATGAAAAAAATGTTCATCATCTCTAGAAATTAGAGAAATGCAGATCAAAACTACTCTAAGATTTCATCTAACTTGAGTCATAATGGCATTTATCAAGAATACAAGCAACAGTAAGTGTTGGCGAGGATGTGGGGGAAAAGGCATATTCATACATTGCTGATGGGACTGCAAATTGGTGTATCCACTCAGAAAACTTGGAATGGATCCACCATTTGACCCAACTATCCCATTCCTTGGTTTATATCAAAAGGACTTAAAATCAGCATACTACAGTGGCACAGCCACATCAATGTTTACAGTAGCTTAATTTACAATAGTTAAACTATGGAATCAACCTAGATGCCCTTCAAAAGATTAATGAATAAAGAAAATGTGGTACATACACACAATGGAATATTACTCAGCCTCAAAGAAGAATGAAATTATGGCATGTGTAGGTAAATGAATGGAACTAGAGAATACTATGCTAAGTGAAATAAGCCAATCCCCCCAAACCAAAAGCTGAATGTTTTTTCTGATAAGTGGATGCTGATTCTTAGAGGGGTGGGGGGTGGGGATAGGGAAGAATGAAGGAACTTTGATTTGTGTAGAGGGGAGTAAGGGGAGGGGTGGGATCGTGGGGATGAGAAGGACAATAGAATTGAGATAGGCATTATTATCCAATATACATGTATATTTACACTACTGAAGTGACTCTGCACCATGTACAACCAGAGGAATGAGAAATTGTGCTCCACTTGTGTACAATATGTCAAAATGAATTCTATTGTAAAATAAATTAATTATTTAATTTAAAAAGAAAATGCTGTCTTGAATGTTGCTTCTATAATTCAACTCTGCATAATAAAGAGTTGGTGAAGAAGTTTTCTTCACACTGGTTGAAGAAATTTCAATTAGAAAAATAATTGGGACAACACTGTCTTTTTATAACAAATATTTTGCAATGTCTTGATATATTTTTGAAATAAAATCCATTAATAATATAATGTACCTATACATAATTTTAAAATATCAAGATAGTATTGTAACTATAAAAGGAAATGTAATTTATTATAAAATAAGATACATTACAGAATATAAACCTGAGCACCATGACCCCTCTAGCCTAGTCTTCCCTGACACCACTTGTATTAGTCAGCTTTCTGTTACTATAACAAAACAATTGAGATAACTAATTTATAAAGAAAAAAATTATTTTAGCTCATTTTTTTGGAGGGTCCAGTCTAATATGGGGCAGACCTGTTGCTTTGGGCCTCTGGTAGGTGTACCAGATGGTAATGGCAAAGGAGTGTGTAGTGCAGCACACTGCTTACCTCATGGCTAGGAAGCAAAAGAGAGGTGAAAGGAAAGAGATGGAGTTCCACGTTTCCTTTTGAGGTTACACTTCCCATAACCTAGGGACCCCACCTCCTGGAGCCCAAGCCTTTAATCCATGGACCTTTGGGGAACATTTAACATCCAAACCGCAGCATCACTATATTCTGGTTGGCAAAATCATCTCATGTTCACACTCCCCACCAGCCCTCACCCCATTAGCTCATGTTTATGCTTCAAAACTTCCTCACAACCAGTGCCCCCAGGTGGGGTAGAGTCCCTCATCCAGGCTTATGAGCACCTCATGCTTTGATGTCACAGTGCTGCTCTATTTATAGCTCCTTTATTGTTTTTTTTTAACTTAGGAAAATATACAAATTTATCAAAAGTAGAAAAAATAGTATAATGAGTCCATTTATTTCCTTATTTCTATAATCATCAACATTTGTCCTACATATTTTATATATCCTTTTCTTTTTCCTAATATTTTGAACCTAATACCTGACATCTGAAGTATTTCCTTATGAATCCTGAAAATAAATTGCACTTTTTTTTTTAACTGATCCTGGAGGTTGTGGCGAGGGGAAGGGAGGCCTGCAGGTGCCATGAACTCAGGTATGGTGGAAGGAGTTCCTTATGTCAGACACTGTCAGGAAATTTTGCAGGTTTTAGTTGCCAGGAACAGGGGACCCAATCCAAATGTATTTCTATCATATAACTGCCAATGTTCTTCCTTTAAAGAACTCATTGTAACAACTGCTTTTTTAAAATCAACTCTTTTCCTTCTCCATAGTCACTTCATTGTTCACAGAGGAAAGGATGTCCAAGGCTACTACCATGGGCAACTGGCAAGAGTTCATTATGATGATAGTGTGAAGAAAACACCCAGGTGAGACACCTCCTAAGCATTAATTTCCAAGAATGTCACCAAAGCTAAAATGATTTTTATGGGTGACCCAATCTTAATAATGGTAACAATAATAACAAGTATTACTTCATGGTAGGAAAGATTTAGAAGGAAATACACCAACTATCAAAAAAGTTGGGTTTTGGGGCTGGGATTGTGACTCAGTGGTAGAGCGCTCGCCTAGCATGCTCGAGGCACTGGGTTCAATCCTCAGCACCACATAAATGTAAAATAAAGATATTGTGTCCACCTACAACTTTAAAATAAATAAATTTTTTTTGAAAGTTGGGTTTTGTTGTTGTTGGGAGTGGGTGGGGAGGTCTTTTCTTTCTTTTTTTTTTTTTTGTACACTGGGGATCATCAAACCCAAGGCCTCACTCATGCTAATATGAGCTCTATTACTGAGCTACACTCTCTAGACCCAATAATGTCTTTTAAAATCAGTGGTAAGATTAATAGTATTTTGTATTTCACTTTTTAATCTTTTTATTTTCCAAATTTTTTTATTTCTTTTATTTTTATTTTTTTTATTTTTGTGTGTGTAGTGAGGAGGTTACTTGTGGCACTTTATCAGTGCACTGCACTCCAGCGCTTTTTATTTTTCACTTTGAGACAGGGTCTCAAAATTGCTAAGGCTGGCTTTGAACTCATGATCCTCCTGCCTCAGCCTCCTAAGTCTCTGGGAAAACAGGCATGTGCCACCACATCCAGCTTTCAATGTTTTTTCTAATGAGCACACGTTGTTTTTACAATCAACAATAAACAAAGAATTTTATTAAATCATTATTTAAAATCCCATGTCTTTAGGATTTCCAATTGGCCAAATAACTGAAACTTACTGAGATTCAGTTTCTTTCTCAGTAAAGTTACAAATTTGACCTAAATGTTTTCTGCCCTTCTAGGTCTGGTTTTCATAAAAAGAAAAAACTAAAATCAGAGGTACTTTGATCTCTCTCTCTCTCTCTCTCTCTCTCTCTCTCTCTCTCTCTCTCTCTCTCTCAGCTTAGGGAAGCAGGAAACTATAAAGGCAGCAATTTGAGTAACTTATGAACTGTTTGATCTTAGGCAATCTTCATTCCTTCTCAGTATTAACTGCCTTAATCTGCTAAACAAAATAATGGATATAAAATTCCATAACACATTAAGCACTCAACATATGATTACTATTACCCCAAGTTCATCATCTAGTATATGTTACAGATTTCTCCTCTCCCAGTTGACTTTGCTGTAGCCAAACTCCAATTATTTTCCATGCAGAGAGAAAAGAGCCATGGCACCCATACTTTGGAGCAGCATATAGTCTATATTTATATGATCAAACTGGAAGTAACTTTGAGGTCATCCTGGTCCAATCAGATGAATGAAAAATAGCAAGAGAAGTGACATCTTGCCTGAGGTCACACAGTATAAATGTTATACTTGAATTTACCCCTATTTTCCCATTCCCAGTTCAAGGCTCTTAGTTCTAACTCATATAATTATAGTCAACTGTACTTTTGTTTTCTGTTATTGTTTTGTTTTGTTTTTGAGACAGGGACTCACTCTGTTGCTGAGAATGGCCTTGAACTGCTGGGCTCAAGAGATCCTTCTGCTTTTGCTCCCCAAGTAGCTTGGGAATGCTACTCATTACATGCCACTCATTACAGCGACATCCTCTACTAGGGTACTGACAAGAAGGGAAACAGGACCCAGAGCCAGAGCTGTGCAAGGCACAGGGGCACCCTCTGAGTTTATTCTTTGTGCAATCTGACAATGTCCTTACTCTGCTCACCACCACACCACCACCATCAAATCCCGTCTGACTAATGCCCAAACATCAGTCCTACCAGGGCATGGCTCTATTAAAAGAACCTGATTTTACTTGGCTCTTACAAGACTTGTGCCTGCCAAAGTTCAGAATTAAGATGCAAATGTAAATCTATAAGTTTATTAAGTGTCTAGTGAAGAATAAGAATAAAAAGTAAAAATCTAAACAAAATGCTACCAAAACAGGAAATACTGTGGTTCTTAAGACCATTCTTAGGTGCATTTTGGAGGGAGCATTTGGGGGAGGGGGATTTTTAAAACAAGAAAGTTATTATCCATGTCCAATTTTGTTCCAAGGTGAAAAAAAATCCTAAAAATAGAACATAAAATAGAATGGACTGTTACATGAATTGGCAGGTCAGTCTTTGCACAGGAGCCATGCTTTACTTCCATTGTTGCAAATGTGCTGCCTGAAGCAAGTATCTAAATCTAGTTATTGTGATTGTGGTGTCACCTGATAGTTGTATAATGGCTTACCTTCCCCAAATATCTTCCTCCACCAACGTGGCCTTTTAGATTACAGTCTTTTGAGTGAAAGTCAGAAGGGTGCTGTTGTGTTATTTGAAAAGGTAGAATGTTCTAGTTCTTGAGAAAGACTCCAGGCAAAGGTGGAGGCAAGCTGGAAGTTCATCAGGAGTAGATCTAGGGGGTGGTCCCCAGGATCAGAACCCCCAGTGGCACAGAAGTGACCAGACTGACAGCAATGGTCACCCAGAACCCAAGCCCACAGGAAACTGATACAGACACCAGACAGCTAATGTTCTCATTGACAGCAGGGACAGCAGGAGACTCATTCCATAGGAAAAGGAGTACTACCATCCACCACTTAAAGCACCCACTTCACAAGGCCAAATACCTATTAAGCATGAAAGAAGAACAAGCAGAGGTGGGTGGGTGTTCCTGATGCTTCTCCAGGCCCATCCACAACAGATCACTCTCACCCATTCAACACGTTTCCCACTGCACGGTGAGATTCTTACTCTTGCCTTTTTTTAAACTTCAGACAGCGTCACTCCATTTCCACCTTGCAATCAAGTTTTTACACAACCAGGAAAAGATTATGAATTTTTTTGTTTTTATGCTGAGGATGGAAGCCAGGGCCTCATGCACACTAGGCAAGTGTTTTACCACTGTCCTACACCTTCTGAACCCCAACATTTTTATTGAGTAGTTTTGATCACCTCTTTATATGATGTGGTCACAGTAAATGATATAAGACTATCCTACTCAATCCTGATTGAATTTAGATGTTCCAAAATAACAGTCAACATTTAATACTTTACATCTAGAGCAGCACACCTCACTTATTTTTAGCATATATAAATACATACTATAATATATCATATAAATTATATATATGGTGTGTGTGTATGTGTGTGTGTGTGTGTGTGTGCGTGTGCCTGGCACAGTGATGATGCACACCTAACAATTGCAGTTACTTAAGAGGCTGAGGTAGGAGCATTGCAAGTTCAAGACCAGCCTGGGCAACTTAGCAAGACCTTGTCTCGAAGTAAAATTTAAAAAGAGCTAGACATGTACTTTAATGGTAGGGCATTTGTCTACATGAGTGAGTCACCAGGGTTCAATCCCTAGAATCATACACACACACACACACACACACACACACACACACACACACTCACACACATATACACATACACAAAAAATATTTAATAGAATATTTAAAAGATACTGATGGCAAGCTGTCTGTGTGGTACACACTTGTAATTTCAGTGTCTCAGGAAGCTGAGACAGGAGGATTCCAAGTTCAAGGCCAGCCTCAGCAATTTAGCAAGATCCTGACTCAAAATAAAAAATAAAACAGATTGGCTATGTAGCTCAGTGGTAAAGCACCTCTGGATTCAATACTCAAAAATAAAAAAGAAGGAGGAGGAAGAGGAAGACATTGATAATAAAAAATTGAAAATTACCAATAATGGTATCACCCAGAGCTAATCATGCAGATCCGCACCAAAATAGGACGAGATAGGGTTGGGAATGGTATTGTGGAACCTTTTTTCTTTGATAATAGCTTTATTGGAGTAATTTATATGCCATACAACTCATCCATTTAAAATGCATGACTCAAATCAAAACCTTTGTTTAAATTTAATAATATATTGTGGACGTTTTCCATCTCAAAATTATAATTCTACTGCATTAGTTTTCATGGTGGTATGGCATTCTCTCTATATGTCTATCTTAGTGACTAAATAATTCCCTATTTTTCTTTTTAAAAATATATCCTCATTTGTAATTGACAGTAGTCGTACATGTTTATGGGAACCGTGTGATATTTCAATACATGTCTACAATGTGTGATGGTCAGATCAGGGTGATTGGCACCTCTATCCCTTCAGCTGATTCCTTTTTTTTCCACCTGAAAGTTCTTCTCTATCATTATAAAAACACTTTGTAAGCATTCTTAGAACTAAGTCTTTGTTAACATTCCTAATTGCTAGAATTGTTGAGACAAAATATAAGTTTATTTTCAAGGTCTTAATACATATCACCAAAGTTGTAGGTGAATGTATACTTATATTCATATCTGAAATACTATACTGATAATGAAGGTTCCCATGAGGGTACTCGAAGGTATTTTGCCATTACATTTTGATTATTGTTTACTTTTGACTTTGGAGAGTGTTTATAATAGAGGTACAAGAAGGTTGTGATTAATTTGAGGCCTATTAAACACCAAGATGCACCACTGTGCTGATCCATCTAAAAGAATTCATTGGTTTCTTGAAGGACCCAAACATGCATAGAAAAATTACAATGGGCAAAGGCAGAGTGGGGGGTCTATCTGGCCCACAGGACACAGCTGTGGGTGGGCGGAGTCAGTGGAGGTTTTGATGCAGGTTCCCTTCTGTGACCTGCACTGGGGAGGGGGAGAAGGAAGGATGCTTAAAGGGAAACTGAAAGCCCTGCACTATCTGTTGCAATTTTGGCAGGCCCAACATCACTTCCAGGGAGTGGGATGTGGCTGATGAGAAAATGGACCTCTTTTCTTCCAGTGGGTACTCATCAACTATTTCTCTTTACATTTAGACCACTCATAGACTTGGCAATTCCAACCGAGAGAAAAACTCCGTATCAGCCTCAATTAGACCAACAAACGCTCATTCGATATATTTGTTTTAAAAGTCGTTCGAAGCCTGTCGACTCGTGGTATAAGGAAACCACTTACCAGAGAAGCTATTCTCTGCCATTTTATGACATTGGTGAGTCAGGTCAAGTGATCTTGACCACAGAGTTAACCCTGCCTGGGCCACAGATCAGCACATTCCCTGGGCTTGCTGACTCAGAGAGCCCTTTAGGACCCGGCTGGGGCCAGGGATATGCATGTGAGGGTCTGGATGCAAAAAGAAGTTAGAAGGGTGCCGTGGGTTCCTCCTTTCCTGGCTCCCTGCATCTGGGACTTCAGGGATGAAAATCTGCAAGTGTCCTTCTTAGGAAGTAGACTCCAGTCTGAGCCCTGAGTCCCTGTCCCACCACAAATTGTGAGTGGGCCTAAACACATTGTTGAGGGAACTTCTTTTTCTTTCTCTATTTTACATGATGTTATGACAATTACTTGACATATATGGAGGCATGGTTCAAAAATTCCCAACTCCCCTCACTGTATTTCTCTGTTTCAGCAGGTGGGCAGAGGGATCCTGAGAGTGTACAATGATGCCAGCTTAACATTATTGACATAGTCATTAGTGCTTTGGGTTTTTGTTTGTTAAATGAATTATCTCATTTGGAAGACTTTGTAAATGAACAAACCCCAACATTTTGGGGGCTCTTACATGGTGTCAAGGACATACTTAGTCCTACGGCAAGTTCTCTGAGGTGTTACCTTCCCATTTTACAGTAAGTTGCAGGGACCATTCATTAACTAGCCCCAAACCACATAGACAGGAGGTGAGATCAGCAGGATTCAGGACCCAGAGCATTTCACTCCCAAATGTGGCCAACTGTGAAGCTATAGTGCTTCTGTCACAGCTAAGTGTCACCTGCATGAGTTACTATTTAACAATTTTCTTTAAAGCGAGTCACATGAGAAATGGTGGGATAAAAAGGATTTAGCCTTCCCTCACTCCTCCAAGAGTGAGCTGGAATAAGCTGGAAGGGCAGAGAGATGGCCCCAGCTGGGTCCCAGGTCCCCAAGGAATAGCCAACAGTAACATCAGGAGGAGTGGGAACCAGGCAGAGACAGGCCAGTCTTGGGAGAATTGAGCCAGGGACTAGGTGGCAATAGATGAAGCTGGGATAGGGCCAGCGATTGACAAGAGGTTACAAGCAGGGCAAAGCTGGGTTCTGGAAGCAGGAGAAGGTTGGAGTCTGAGAAGGGAGGGAAGTGAGAGCCAAGAAGAAAGATAGGGGCTGAGATGAAGGTCATTTAGAGAAGGAGGGGCAGGGAGGGAGTGAAGAGTGGTTGGGGTGGGGGTGGCAGAGGCCCCTTGAGGAGGTTGTGGTAAAGGAAAGTAGGGGGGCTAGGGGTATAGCTTAGGGCTGAACAAAGTGTGAAGCCTGGGAGGTGAGGAGGGGTGGAGAGGAGAGGTTGTCAGGATGTGCCCGTAGGACTCCTGCCCTACAGACTGACTGTAAAAGTGCAAAATCTGCTGCATGAGGGAATCCAGTGGATTTCCAAAACAAGAGAAAACTGGACCCTTGCCAGGCATGGTGGTGCACACTTATAATCCCAGCTGCTCCAGAGGCTGAGGCAGGAGGATCACAAGTTCAAAGCCAGCCTCAGCAAAGGCAAGACACTAAGCAACTCACTGAGAACCTGTCTCTAAATAAAAATACAAAAAAAAAAAAAAAAAGAGAGAAGGGGGCTGGGGATGTGGCTCAGTGGTCAAGTGCCCCTGGGTTCAATGCCTGGTACCAAAACCAAAAAACAAAAACTGGACCCTTGTTATAATTCTTCTGCTAGGAGGAAACCTCATTAGATAGATACAAAAGGTATTCTCCCTCACTTATTTCAGAAGACAGTTTCTAATTCTTTCCAAATCTACAAAACCAAATGAATGTTCAGCAGAACAATTAAATGTTTACCATCTGCTAGGTACCTTGTCCTCTGCTAGATACATAGAAAATCCAGGCAATGATCTCAGCCACAGGGACCTTACAGTCCAATAGGGAAGAGGACCTCAATCTTTTAGAGAATGACCAAATACCAACTAAAGAAGTAGAAGTCCAAAGATGAGTTTACTGGAGCCTCACTACAGCCAGTTTCAGCTAGGAATGCAGCATGCATGAATGGGGCCCGAGTTGGGCTGTGTGATGGGTCTGTTGGGATGGGCCACCAGGGACAGTGGATGCTGTGGTGAGATTTGTTGGACTGGGGGAGGATGTTGGCCTGACTAGGGCAAGGGAGAAGACTTTTCCCTGGAAGCCTAGGGGAAATCAAATTTGGACAATCAGAGTCATAGTCAGCCGAGTGACCCAGCTCTGCTCAGGACAGGGTAGAGAAGGCAGGTGCTACAGACAAGAAGAGCAGCCAAGAAGCTGTTGCACTGGTGCCACGTGTGATGGTGTGAAGTGGGGGACAAGATTCAGGCATCATAGTGCCGCAGGCCTGGCACCTTCTAGCTGTGTGGTGTTGGGCTAGATATTCAACTTCTCTGACCCTTTTTGCTCTTCAGTAAAATGGAGACTCGAAGTCTACCTTTAAGATAGTTGTTAGGATTTAAAATATCTCATGCCTGGAACTGTGCTAAGTGACATTCATGTATGCTCATCATTAACACTAGCTGTAAATGTCTCCATGAAGTAGGTATATTAGAGATCTTAATCACCTACTAAAAGTTGGGCATGGTGGTGCACGCCTGTAATCCCAGCAACTCAGGAGGCTGAGGCAGGAGGATCGTGAGTTCAAAGCCAGTCTCAGCAACTTGGCAAGATGCAAAACAACTCAGTGAGACCCTGTCTTCAAATAAAATACAAAATAGGGCTGGGGATGTGGCTTTGTGGTCGAGTGCCCCTGAGTTCCATCCCCAGGACCAAGAAGAAAAAAACAACCTACTAGAGCAAGTAACTGTTGTCAGTTCAGGTCAAACCTAGATATGTCACACTCCAAAGACAGTGCTTGTAAATGAGCTGGGAAGGTTTGAGTAGAAATGGAGTGAGGATTTATATGACAGAGCACTGGAAGTGAGGAAAGATGGTGCCAATAAAGAATGTGCAAGAGAGGAACTAAAGATCACTCCACAGCCTCTTGTTTCTGCAAGATTATTGGTACCTCTGATAGAAATAGTGGTTTGAGGCAGATATGATCAAGTTGGGGTCTGTAGACAATTGAAAATATGGTGCTAGAAAGTGCAGGCTAGGCAACAGAAGATGAAGAACAGCTTTGGATACCCCCTACTTAGTGAGGTTTGAAGCCTGACTTACTCCAGTGTCATTTATATTGAAATATTCACTGCTCTGTTCATTGAGTCAGTGATTGAATGCATATTAGTTGTCTATTGCTGAGGAACAAATCATTCCAAGACTTTGTGGATTAAAACATGAATGATGATTTTTTTAAAAAATGTCTTAGGGGTTTCCATGGGTTGGGAATTCCAAAACTGCTCAGGTGGGCAATGGTGGCTGAGGCTCTCGAGATTTCAGTGAGAAGTCAGTGTGGCTGCAGTCTCAGCTGAAGGCTTGATGGCTGGAGGATCCAACCCAAGGTGGTTTAGTGACAGCATTGTCAAGCTGGGTGTTGGCTGGAGGCCTCAGTACTTTTCCATGTGGGCCTCTCCATGGGGTTGCTTGAGTGTGCTGATGGCATGGAAGTCAGCTTCCTTTAGAATGAGTGATTCAAGACTCAGGTGGCAAAATGCAATGGCTTTTATAACCTAGGCTCAAAAGTCATACCCTGTCACCTCTGATTTATCCTATTAGTCACATACAGCCACCGCTAAGGTCGGGTGGGAGAGGCACAGATATCCTCAGAAGCTGGCAAACACAGTGTGACTATTGTGCACCAATTATAAACGAGACGCTGTGCTATCCTGGGGATACAGTGACCACAATAGACAGAACACCTGCTTCCAGAGAGCTGGCATTCTGTTGGAGGACACAGGACATAGCCAGATACACTTTTTTTAAAGTTATAGATTTTGGTAGAGCTATAAGGGAAATTAGCAGGGTGATGAGCACAGTTGAAGGAAGTTCCTTTAAATAGAGCTGTCAGGGAAAACGCGACATAATTTTAGCTGAGCCCTGAAAAATAAGAATGAGTCATATAAAGAACACTTCAGGCAAAGGAAGCAGGAAAAGCCAGATCCTGAAAGCTGGAAAAGTCTTGCAGATTTGTGGAACAGAAAGAAGGGCATTGTAGTTTGGTGGGTAGTGAATTAGGGGTTAGAATAATAAGGTGATTGAATTTTATTTCAAGAGCGATGGAAAGTCATCAAAGGACTTTGAAGAGTGATATATTATTTAAATTTGGGGGAGGATGATCCTGGGGATGAAGCCTTGTGTGTGCTAGGCATGTATTCTTCCCTCACCCCTTCTATTCTGGAGAGATAACTCTGGGTGCTGTTAAGACAATGGAAAGAGACAAGAGGGAGGGTATGCAGACCACTGAGGAAGCTATTTAGTGGTTTAGACCAGATATGATGATGGCTCATAGCAGCAGAGAAGATGAAAAGGAATAAATGGACTCTACAGAGATGTGGAGGTGACATTAGATTGGACTGGTAACAGATTTGATGTTAGGCACATTTTTATTTATTCATACTTATTCCTTCAGTAAATATTTGAGAGCCTATGTGAATGTCAGTTGGTGTGCTATTTTCACAATATAATGTGAGCTGAAAACAGACACAAGTTTTCTACACTCAGGGAGATTTAGTAGAACTAGCATGGAAGTAGCCATAGGTTCTACCCTCCATAAATGCTGGGAAGCAGTTTATGGGATACTATAATGGCATACAGTAGACAGGAGGTTTCCCTGGGGAAATGAGCCAAGAGCTGAAGGATAAGCTAACTAGGCAAGAAGGGAAACACACTCACAGAGAGTAGTTTGTGCAAAGGCCCTGTGTTGGGATGCAACATGACATGTTTGAAGAATTAAAAAAAATAAAGAGATCTGGGGACATAGCTCAGTGATGAGTGTGTGCTTAGCACATCCAAGGCCACAGGTTCAATCCTCAGCAGAATAAGAAAGACTTTACTGGCCATATTCAGGTTTGGGGCCTTTAGCCTCAGAATGGGACACAGTTGAAAAGTTTTTAAAAGAATAGAGATAATAATGAAATTTTCATTTTGAAAAGATTACCCTAACCATGAAGAAGAAAAGGAGAGGTAGGGAAGGGAATGGAGTAGGCCAAAGATTGGTTATGGAGAACCAATTGTTGTGATTTGGTTGAGGTTCTTAATCTTGGCTATATCACTTGAAGAGTTTTCAAAATATCCAGATGCCCAGACTATACCCACTATTACTGAAATCAGAATCTCCCAGTAGGGGGTGGTTGGGGTGACCTAAGCATTAATAGCTTTTAAAACTCTCCAGATAATTCCATTGTATAGCCAAGTTTGGGAATCAATGATTCAGGCAACTGGTGATGGGTTGTATCGGTACAAAGACTGAGATGGATTTGAGAGATACTTAGATGGAAACTGTTTTATAAACAACAGGCAGGCAAAAGGTTGGTACATAAGAGGCCTAAGAGAAGAACATTACAGTCAGAGCACTGGTAGAGAAAAGAGCAGAGACTGAATCAAACATATTCAGATCAAGACACAAACTCTTTCAGGAGTTTTGGGGAAGGGCTTTTCACAGAATAAGAGAAAGCAAGATTAAGTTGTTTATCTAATCCTCGGGTTGTTGAACTTCACCAATAGGCCAGCCTTTGTGATTAGATTCTTTTTACATTTATTTATTTATTTATTTGTATTTATTTATTTTTGCAGTCATGGGGTTCAATCTGCATGTCTTGCACATTCTAGACAAGTCTTCTACCATTGAGCCACACCCCCAGCCCTGTGATTAGATTTTTCAGGGCTGAAATCATGTGTAGATTAGTAATCTCTTGCATTTCATGTTCCTTTCTCTGAGGTTTCTAATTTGGCAAATTGTTTAGGAACAGAATAAACATAGACTATGTATGATAGGTCATGTTTATTGCTTTAAAAAATCTTCCTCCATTAAAATTCTTTCTCAACACACATCATTTATTTACTTAGGAAACACTTATTAAGCACTGACTATGTGCAGGCCACATTGGAGGATATAGAGCAGGCTGTTCTCAGAACTTACAGCTTGGGAGGAGGAGTCATCCCTCAGAAGAAAGTTGTCCCTGAATTACTAACCTTGGTACCAAATAATTAAAGATCATTCTTCCAAACTAAAAATAAATGCTTTTAGTAGCTGCGTGACCCTTAGGTTCTTTGACCCTCAATTTTCTCACCTGCAAAAAGGATAAAAATAATATCTACCTACTAGAACTGAGATATATGTATAAAGAATTTAGCATTGGGCTAACAGCAGCGGTTTGATACAAAGTGGTTCCCAGATAATGTAGTACTAAAAGGCTTGGGGGGGGGGTCTAGAATTAGGCTGTCAAAATGCAAATTTGTGTGATTTATTCATTTTATTTACATTTTGGTATAAAAGTAGGCTTCTTAACTGGAGACTGAGCCAAAGAAATATCTTCTGGCTAACTAAGTCCCTTTTTCCATATTTTAAATACAGCCCTTTGCCTTACATGCCATAAATTATTATGTTATTATGCACAATTGCTAAAATAACAGTGTGTTAAAATTAAGGAATAATCTTATAATAAATCATTAATTTGTTTTAAATTCCAGGTTGGGACCAGAAATTAGCCACCATTTCACTGAATCCTAGACCACTGAATTCAGTGCCAGAGTTCTACTGTTATGAAGACAACAGTGACTTCGAAAGATACTTTTAAACTAAAATAACCCTGGCCTTGGAACAAAATAACTTCCAACATTCTTAGAAGACTCTTGAAATAAACTGATGGTAGAACTATTTTTAATTTAAGTGTGTATACAACAGCTCTAAGCCTAAAACATTTACATGTTACAAATTCTTTTCAGATTAAGTTGATCAGCCTACAACTGGGAATCAAGATCCAGCCTTAAGAAAATGTGTCATGGGTTAAGGGTACATAGCTCAAAGCACTTGGCTAGCTTGAGTAAGCTCTGGGTTTGATCCCTAGCAACACAGAAAAAGGAAAAAAGGGAGGGAGGAGGGAGAGGGAGAAAGCAGGGGAGGGAGAAGAGAAAGAGAAAGAGAAAAAAAAAGAAGACAACTTGTCATATGACTAATACCAGTCATTGATGATGCAGACAAACCATCTTATAATGGTAATATGTGGGACTAGATGAGAACATATAGTAATTGCATCTGCTCAATATCATTGTTGAGGGTGGGGGGAGAACCTGGAGTATATAGCCAAGTAGGAAAACAACTGAAGGGGCTCTAGATGAAGAAATCCAGGAAAAGCACAGGTCTGCAGTAAGAGGCAGGGAGGGTTTGAAAAGAAGACTGTCTGTGTATACAAGTTTTAACATCCCTATGGCAGCAAGAAGAAAGCTTGGTGTAAGTATGCATCAATTCCACAGGCAAAAAGCCAGAGGGTCTTCTTTAAAGAAATGATCTCAGAGAAAAGAATCTTACATTCTGACCACTAGGGAATTCTCCAGCATACTAATTGGCTTCCTACTCAATCATCCTGGAGTAAAGCCTAGGGTTAATAAACTTCTTCCAAGAACAGTTCCATATAGCTTTCCACTGCCTAGTCTTTGACACTGTCAGCCAAGCCATCATTAAGCAATCTGAAAAAATAATGCAACATGAAAGACAAACACCCAGGGAGCTTGGGTTGTGGCTCAGCGGTAGAGTGCTCGCTGCGGTAGAGGGCTCGCCTCGCACGTTCGAGACCCTGGGTTCGATCCTCAGCACCACATAAAAATAAATAAGTGAAATAAGAGTATTGTGTCCAACTACAACTAAAAAATTTTATAAAAAAGAAAAACAAAGACTCAATTAAAAAGAAATGACATCAGATGAAAGAGAATTCAGGAGACACAAAAGAACATAAAATAAATAACAAAACAGCTTAAGTTAGGGTTCTCCAGAGAAACTGAATATTTTATTTATTCATTTATGGCTCATGAGATGATGGAAGTACGTAAGTCCCATGATCAATCTATCATCCGCAAGTTGGAGGCTCATAAAGCTCATCTGGAAGGTGGAGGGGCTGGGGCTGTAGCTCAGTGACAGAGTGCTTGCCTTGTACCTGTGAGGCACTGGGTTCGATCCTTAGCACCACATAAAAATAAATAAAATAAAGGCATGCTATCCATCTACAAATACAAAAATTTAAAAAAAAAATTTGATGGAATGGTTCCAATCCAAGCCCAATGATGTAAGTCCTGGTCCAACTTTGAAGCTAAGAACTAGAAGCACTCTTATCAAAGGTCAGGAAAGAACCTCTTTCAAGCAGAGAGTAAATTCATCCTTCTATTCCCCTTTTTGTTCTATTCAGGCTTCAACAGACCCAATGATGTCTTCCCATGTTGGTGAGGGCAATCTTCCTTGCGCAGTCTACTAATTCAAATACTAATCTCTTCCAGAAATACTCTCACAGATAAAACACAGAAATAATGGACTGAGAATTCCCTAGCCCAGTCAACACACTAAAATTAACTATCACATGTCCACCCACCCCTTGTCAACTTGGCACTCATACACATCTTCTTAAACCATAACCTCCAAATGAAGACCAGTAGCATAATAAACTAACATAATAAACTAACATAATCCCGCCTTTAAACACCTTTGCTTTCCGAGGTTTCGGTTACTTAAGGTAAACCTCAGCCAGAAAATATTAATGGGAAAATCTAGAAATAACTCATAAATTTCAAATTGCATGTCATTCTGAGCAGCTTGATGAGAAATCATGCCATCATGCTCGGTCCTGCTTGGATGAGTATCATTCCTTTATCCAATATATCCAAGTTATGTATACCTGTATGTGTGTATACAGTCACGTGGCAGTTAGCTTATTAGTTTGACCATCACAGTATTGTGATGCTGTGTATAGGGTTTAGTTCTATGTGTGATTTCAGACATCCAGTAGGGGTTTTGAAATACATCTCCTGAGAATAAGGTGGGACTACTATATCCTGTGTTACAACCAAAAAAATGCACTACTCCCAATGTTTATCACACGGAAGAGGAGAAAAAGTCCTTGAATGAAGTTTACTCTTCTGATATCTGGAAACTTAAAATTATCATGAGAAATTAACCAATATTCATAGTATTTGTATTATGCTACATAAGGGAATAAGAAAACCGATATTTTGCTTAACATAAGTATAGATACAATCATATTTATTAAAAAATTATATGCTCATGACAATTACAGTCCTCATTTGGTCATGTGGTTGTACTGCTATTTATAACTGCCTTCTACAACACATTCTGTATTCCCTTTCCCTTCAGCAAGCAACTCAGTCATGTTTCTTTGCTCAGCTGGATAGTCCAAATATTCATTCCTGAAGGGTCTGGGTCATTAGTAGTACTACCTAGGTGCTGGATGGGTGGCTGTAGTTTTCCATTGACCTTGCAGGGTAAACTAAGAATTGTTCCTAACGCTCTTCCTTCCCTCCATTGTTGAGCAGTATCCAATTCCCCTGTGATAATCCAGATCAATCAACCCCAACCAACACCATCTCTTCATAGCATATTGACTCAGAGGCACAAGGAGCCCAAAGTGGCCAGGTGGCAGTCTTAACTTCCATTTCAATGGAATTATTGTGTCTCCTGGTGGAAGTATTCCTCCCTTTAGAATACAGACCTCTAGGCCAGCAGAATATAAATCCTGGGAACAGGAAGCAAACATTTTGTAATGGATCTCTAGGTGTAACAATGAGTGATCCCACTCCCACTTTCAACCCTTGACTCCTGAATCTGTAAATCCTAGCTACTAGAGAATTAGAACCATATTTTAGGCATGGATTGAGTATCTGCAGCCTTCTGGAGAACTTTGTCCCAAACCTACAAGGTTTGCCACCCAACTAGTACTTCAATCAATTTTTTCAAAAGGTCATTTCACTGTGTTAACACAACAGTTGTTTGAGGATGAGGGAGAACATGGTAATGCCAGTGAATTCCAAGAGTGTAAGCCCAAAGCTATGCTTCTTTTGCTGTGATGCTGAGTTCCTTGATCAGAAGTAATGCTGAGTGGAATACTGTGATGATGGATAAGGTATTCAGTAAGTACACAGATGGTAAATTTGGCAGAAGTGTTACATGCTAGAAAGGCAAATCTGGATCCAGGAAAAAACACTGCCTCTTCCATTATAGAAATATATCAATTGTAATCAACCTGCCAGGGAGCTTGATGATCACCCCAAAGAACTATGCCATATTGGGGGTTCAGAGTTGGGTTTTGCTGCTGGCAGATTGGGCACCCAGCAGTGGCCAGTCAGGGTGATCTTGGTGAGTGGAAGTCCATGTTGCTGAGTGTATGTGTAAAATGCATAACCTCCATCCCTGCCGCAATGGCTGCTTTGTTCATACACCCTCTGGGCAATGACAAAAGTTTGCAAGGGAAAGAAGCTAAGTGGTTTCTGAAGAATGGACCACCCAATTCACTTATTATTAAAGCATTCCTCTAAGGAGGTCATCTTTTGATGAGCATTCACATGCAACACAAATGTCTCCACATTTTTTGCTCATATAGGAAGATTTATCAGTATACATATCTCCTCTTCCAAAAGTTTTTGTCATTAATTTTCCAATTGTCTTCCTTCCAACTCCCTCAATAACTAGCCAAACCGCTGGCTACAGCTCATAAATCTGTATATAATTGCATGCCTGGCCATTTCTCTTTCTAAGCAAAGAACATAACCAGATGTCTAAAGTTCTAATCACTGAGGTTTCCCTTCACCACTGTCCTTCAGGGTTGTCTGAGAAGGGCTGTAGTACTACAGCTGTCTACATTCAGGTGGTGATCACATGTCATGGAGAACCTTCTGTAAACTAGGCCCAAGTGTTTCCCTGTCAACTGATCCTAGGCAATTCCCCATGAGGCCATAGATACAGGCTGAAAGAGAAGGCAGGGTAGCGGAGCAGAAGGGGTACAATAGACATTTGGGCCACTACTTTAACTTATTTGTGCTCTTCACAGGCACAATTCCTAACAGGCCCCAATTCTGTATGTACCATTTCCATTAATGTATTGTTGTACATGCCCCATGTTATTGCTTAGAGGATCAGGTAACAGTTCTTGATAGAGAGCTTGGGTTGCATTGTAACTGGTGGCCCAAGGTCATGTTCAGTCTCTACTGAGGTTCAGTAGCAGCCAATATCTGTCTCACAAAAGGACAATAGTTATCTGAAGATGAAGGCAAAGCCTGGCTCCAAAATTCTAAAGACCTGTGTTGTGATTCACCTATATGGACCTGCCAAAAGCTCTAGGTAGATCATCACCTACCAGTGTCACATTTGCTGGATCATGTAGCAGTTTGCACAGCAGCCTGGTCCATTGTAGAGCCTTCTCTTATCCTGGGACCTATTCAAAACTATCAGTTTTTCAGGCAAATGGCCTGGAATAACACATCTAAATGAGGAATATGTTGCCTCCCAAATCCAAAGAGGTCCATTGGGCATTGTGCCTCTTCATTGGTTGCAGAAGGTGTCAGATTCAACAATTTGAAAGGTGAAGGCCCCACACCACTAGATGCCTAGAAATTTCACTGAGGTAGAAGGCCTCTAAATTTTTGTTAGATTCATTTTTCACTTTGATATGTAAATGTCTTACCATTTAAATCTAGAGTGTTTGGCAATCCTTGCTAATCAGCTTAGGTTTGGTACTTCTGGCTAATCAGATTAGAAGAACAGCATTATGTTATCGACATAACAGACCAGCGTGATTCTTTTTGTTTTGCAGCGCTCAAGAGTTGATCAGGGCCTCAGGCAGGTGCTCTACCACTAAGCTATATCCCCAGTCCTGGATCAGTGTGA